AACGAGAGACCCTTCTTCAACATGGTTCACCTGATTTCATTACATGGTTCCAAAGAAATGTACCTTCTGACCAACTTAGGTCGTTTCAATTTTGGCGTTCCTAGTTGCCTAATTTCATTTCTCTCCTGCTTGAGCTTGCAGTGCCAAAGTGATTTGTCTATAAGTGTCAAATTACGATAAGTGGCCAGAGGCTTTGACTATAAGGTCTCGTCATTTAACGCTTATGACGTGAATGGATATCGCTTTCACACAACAAGCTACGAGAAGAGTCGGCCCAATCCAAGGACCACCAATACCAGAGTATTTATGCCCGGAGAGGAGCAGGAGGACTATTATGGCACAGTTGAAGAAATATACGAGCTCGAATTCCATGGTGAAAAAGCACCTAAGTCAGTCATATTCAAATGCCAGTGGTTTGATCCTGCAGTATCAAAAAAGTCCCCTAAATTTGGGATAGTCGAAACTAGACAGGATTCCTTCTATCCAGGAGATGATGTCTATATTGTGGCTCAACAAGCCAAACAAGTTTATTATTGTCCATATGCTTGCAAAACCGACCCACGTCTTCAGGGTTGGTATATTGTGCACAAGGTATCACCACATGGTAAATGTCCTCCCCCAAACGATGATGATTACAACTTGAACCCACCCACGCATGACGGGGAGTTCTATCAACAAGACGAGGGGCTACCAGGGATGCTTGAGATAGACTTAACCGGAGAGATTGAAATGGAAGTAGACGAGGAATGGGTTGTTGACGAGGAAGCTACAGATGAGGTGCATGATCCGAGAGACTTGAAAATGCTTGACGGACTTGTACTTGACAATGATAGCGATGAGGATGAGGCTGTTGACGATTTGGAGGCTCTTGATAGTGATGACGATACCTATCGTCCAGATAATCCCGATCATGAAGAATATTAGAAATACATATAATACTATGTTATTTTGTAATTACATTTTCTTTATTTTGCATCCCTTGCTAAGTACTTCTCGTTTATCTGTACTAATACTGGTTTATTCTTTTTAATTGTAGGTGATGGGGCCCACTAGGAGGTGTCAGTCGACTTACTCGAGACCGAGGGACACGCCACCGGCTGAGGAGACGGAGGCGGAGACGTTAGAGAGGCAGAGGAGGTCGAGGGGCAGGCCCAGGCGGGAGCCGTCGACTGACCACGACCTTGGCTCCTCGTGCACTTCTAGGGACAACGACGTCCCTTTGCCCACGATGGGCGAGGATGCGGGTCCGCAGATGTACGCCGCCGCCGTTCCGCATGCGTCTGAGGAGGGGGTTCCGCACACGTCCGAGGGGGGGAGGGGGTTCGACTTCCTCTTCAGCCTCGAAACCCTACTTGCGAGGTCCCAGCCAACTCCCGAAGCGACCGATTGCACCCGAACGCCGCCCACTGATTGCACCCGAGGGGGATAAGTAAGTAACTTCATATGTTCTTCATTTGATATGTTGAAAAATCATAATAAGAGCTAATATCAATGGGATCACTTGTGCAGGAACTGGATGCTTGTGGAGGAGGGGGTCCCGGCTCGCAATGTCAATGGGATCCTAGGACTTCTATGCAGGGAACAGTTCCCTGGCCTGGTGTGGACATCAGAGGATGAGGACCCAGAGGTACCCTCGTTCGACCACTATGCCCTCATCGCCACCGATGCTCTGCACAGAAACTTGGCAGATCGGGTGATTTCGGAGTTGTGGGTAAGCCTTAATTCATTGCATTCATTGGACATTCTTCAAATAAAATAATGGATACCTCGTGTCTTTATGCAGAACTTCTTCAGATGCTAGCCGGGCCAGGAGGCAAGGGCGTATCAGGTGGCTTACGCTTCCTGTAAAAGGCGTGTCTCGGACTTGTATTACGAGGCCCGCCTCCAGGCGCACGTTGACTACAACGCCACCTACCGTAAGAGAAGAATCAACAAAACACAGGCGAGGAGACAGATAGAGATTCTAACAAGGGAGCAGTACCTACAGGTAAATATAAAACATCTCTTGTTGATTTATTTTGAGATTAACTATGCCTAATTTGATCTTCTGATGGCTTGTAGGCGATTCCAAGCTGGTGCGCCACGCACCCTGATTGCTGGGCTGCTATAGTGGACAAATGGCTAGACGTGGACTGGCAGAAGGAGCACCAGGAGAAAAGCGAGCGCTGATGCCAGGTGCCCCTCATCATTAGGGCAACGCCAGCCTCAGCAAGTATGCAAAGACATATGTAAGTCTGCACCATTTGTCTAATCTAGCCGCGCTCAATTCTGCATGATTTCTAACCACATGTTGTTGTCTTTCTCGTAGTTGGCGGCGCACGGTGGCCAGCCAATTGGCCAACTCACGGCGTATGCTCTGGCCCACATGGGCCCGGCAAGGTCCAACATCGAGTACAACCCGGATGCGGGCCCAGAGGCGTACACCAACTCCAGCGTCCACACCCGCCTCACTTCTTACACGGAGGCGGCAAGGTCAGTCCACGGGCCGACCTACGATCCGAGGACCGAGGAGCGCCTTGATCCTGAGATCGTGATGCGGGTGGGGGAAGGCAAGAAGCATGAGCGGTTCTGGCTTGGCGACGGCGTCCTCAACACGGGCTCTACTCCTCCTCTGAACTGCCTTCGAGCAGCGAGCACGAGCTCTAGCGTGCCCATAAGCCAACGGCCGACAACGGTGGCGGCACTCCAGGTAAGTATTCCAGTTTCATTCGTCGTTCTTTGACTTTTACGTTCCTTAGCTCTGCAATATTGAAACATTGGGGTCAAATATTGTAGGCCGAGCTGCAGCAACTTCGGGCCGAGCAGGAGGCCCAGGAAGCTGAGCGGTCGGCTGAGCGGGCCGAGCAGGAGGCCGAGCGTCAGAGGCTACAAGCTGTTGAGGCCCAGCAAGAAGGTTTGCTCAGGTTCGTGCAACAACTTGGGGAGCAACAAGGTTAGCAGATCCCACTACACCTGCTTGCACCACAGCCACCACCATAGTCTATTCCGGTGAGTATGTTTTACTTTCTGTGCTCATACTTAGTGTCAAACCTAGAGATGGCCTTCGTGCCGGATTTGTTGATGTGTGGGCCTTCGTGCCGGGTTAGTTGATGTGTCGGCCTTCGTGCCGGAAATGTGGTTGTCGGCTTTCGTGCCGACGTTTTTCTTGCAGGTTTTGGAAACGTCCCCGTGCAGAGGAGGTGCTGCCGAAATTTTCAACTTTTCTTTAAACTCCTTACATTTTTATCTTGTCACTCATGTGCAATATCTTCTTTTTTGTGCAGCGGACATCGGGGGCGGCGTCGAACCAGGTCGGAGGGTCGCCGGCATCGCAAGTCGGGCCATCCGCACCCGGACCGTCTCCAGGATCGCACGTTGGGGCGCAGTCGCCGTGAGCCGCTTGCGGAGTAGTTTCTATGTATCGAATTTGTGAACTTGTGGACTATGAACTTGTGGTTTGTAATAAATTATGGATTTCGGACAAATTTGGTCGTTTGTAATATATAAATGTGTTTTGTAATTTATTGCTGTTGAATTGTGGTTTCTATTATATATATATATATATATATATATGCATTGTTGTTTAAATGGAAAAGCAAAAAACACAAAAAAAAGAAATTTAGAGGTGGCTTTGCCGAGTGCAATGACCATTGCACTCGGCAAAGAAAATTTAAAAATAAAATAAAAAAACACGCTTTCCAAGTGCAATGGTCATTGCACTCGGCAAAGAAAATTTAAAAAAATAAAAAATAAAAAACACCCTTTGCCGAGTGCCGGTGCTGTGGCACTCGGCAAAGAGGTTTAAAAAAACATATTTCTTTGCCGAGTGCCGGAGCTGTGGCACTTGGCAAAGAGTTTTTTTTTTAAAAAAAATTAGACGGCGTCGGCCGTCGACCGACGGCGTCGGCCGTCGACCGACGGCGTCAAATATTTGCCGAGTGCCCACACGACACTCGGCAACGGCCCAAAATTTGACACTCGGCAAAGCAGCCTTTACCGGAAGGGGATTCAACGGAGACTCTTTGCCGAGTGTTGCACTCGGCGAAGGCTTTGCCGAGTGCAAAGTTGCCTTTGCCGAGTGCAACAGGCACTCGGCAAAGAGCCCGCCTCCAGTAGTGCATGTGCGAAAGCACCTTTGGAACTTCTTGTGTGAATCTGCGATCTGCTTGTTTCTAGGGTCAGCAATGCATTATGCAAGCAACCTTGTGCTTGGATCTATGCAATGCGCAATACCGTTGTAGATTAGCAGGATATATATTCCAAGCAAGCAGGGCACCTAGCTAGAGAGTAGAGAATTAAGAATGCGTTTTCATTCCACGCTTCAGGGAGTGACATATTGAGAATCCATATACAAAGAGTGACATATCATCAACGAACACACCGCATCCTGTTATAGCTGGCTAAATGGGCAGCCCGACCCTAGCACAGTATGGCGTGACACTATGAAACACTACGCCTTAACCGTGCCATTTCACCATGCCCAAGTCTCAGCCCAGCATTTTTGGTAGGTTTTAAAATATCCTGAGAGAAAAATATGAAAACCCACAGAATAATTGTATGATTTTTCTGTGCGTGACAATACACACAAAAAAAATCAGCACCTATAAAAAAATAAAACTGATTCTGTCGGTTCTTTAAAAACACATAGAAAAAAATATATATACGCACAAAAAAAAATATTATTATTATGTCGATTATTTTAAAACGCACAGGAAAAACGGACACACGCACGGAAAAAAAACCAAGAAGTCCTAACCCTAACCCGCCGCCGAGGACTCGCCCGCTCGGCTCCTCACGCACGCACGCCCTCCCTCCCTTCTTCTTCCCCCGCACCCCCTCCTCCCTCCTCCCGCACCCGCACCCGCCCATCCTTCTCCGGATCCCGCCCCTCCCTCCCTCCCCTTCTTCCTCGGCGTGGCCAGTGCCGCCCTCCGCCCCCCTCCCCTACCTTCTTCCCGAGATCCGGCCGTGCTTGCTTTGAACACATATATAAATGGTGTACCAACCCTTAGCGCTGCCAGATGCAGCCGCCGCCGCTGTCGTTCATGTCATCGCGGCGCCGCTTCGCCTCTTATCGCGGTGGTTCGGGCGGATCTAAGCGGCGGCGGCCGGCTCGCCTTCACGCCGCCCGGGTGGCACGTGGCAGCAGAGCGGCGGCGCCAGTGGGCGATCGTGGCGGCTGCCTGCCAGTTCCGTCTGGGCGTCCGGGGCCTCGCTTGTTTCGCCCGGCGGCCCCAAGGCAGCGGCGGCCCCCAAAGCAGCGGTGCGCCCCCAACTTCTCTCCTCGGTGCGGCTCCAAGTCGGCGGTGCGCACCCCAAGTGACGGCGGCCCCAAGGCGGCGGCGGTCCCCAAGGCAGCGGCAGATCCGGCTACTCTCGTCTCCACCTTGCTCATGGCATCATCAAGCTTTTTAGATCAGCATCAAGGTGTGTGCTGTGTAACCCTATCAGCTCTCTCTGTCCTTTTAATTGCCTTTAGTAGATCTGGGAATAGCCTGTCGTTGGAGATATGGTTGAATCTTTAACCAATTACATTGATTCTTAATGATACTAAGTTCAGTGACCATTATATAGATAAAAAAAAAGAAATCTGCAGCCTGTGGTATTGTAGGTGTGAGTTAAAATATGTTAGCAAGGATGCCAGAGTTAAGAAAGAGTACAAAAGTTCCATTCTAGGATGTGGAGCTGCACAGATTTGCTGCAAAGTCATATCCTTCTGTTAGGTGTCATTCAAATAGGAATACTGGAAATTATTGTGGTACTGTTCCTTGTGCAAGTTACATCCCAAAATTTTGCAAGGAAATAATGATAGCATTGTTAGTGTAAGTCCTTGTAGAAAGACTTTGGAAAGAGCTATGCATTACTTCTCACACAAACCAAATAACTAGTAAATTTGATTTGGTTAGAGAGCAGAAAGATTTAAGTGTCACATAGGCCGAGAACATGTACGGAGGCATGAGCAGTACAATACTACGTGAGGCCACCAAAGTTATTTTTCTTCCTTCGGCATATGCATAATTTTGTGTGCTCTGTAGGGAGAAGGAACTGAAAACGCTAGAAGTGATAAAGTCGAATCTTGCTCCTATGATTTATGTTTATGTTTGCTTGAGAATTTTTTTTTGCATTTTGTAGCAAACTCAAGAAACACATGGCAACACAAGACTACGGAAGATCTTGCTGCTGCTGAAAAGGAATTTGAAGATTTGCAACCGTATGAACTGCCTAAAGCTGAAATGGTCGATCTAGTGCAGTAGCATGGCATAAGTCTGGTGCTTCACAGTGGTTTTGACTATAACTTTATTTGTCATGAAGCAGGACACAGTGATGCCATGGAGCAGCTGGCATGGATCAATTAGTTAAGGAACTGTTTTCGTAAATCTTCTATTGGTACAGTACCTTGTTGGCTCATTGATTTTTTGACAGTTCAAACATTGTAGTGTTTCTATTTTAATAAGCCCTTTTGCAGGCTTGCTGCTCTTTGCTGTTGCTGCATGCTGGATGATTGTTGCTGCTGTTTCTGACATACATGCACCTGAGACAAGGTAACCTTACATGCCTCTAGGTTGATGTTAATATTAGTCTGTACACAATGCTTGACTCTTTGCAATCAACAAACTTGTGTAGGTTAGTAAGCTTGTTATTTGCTCTACACCATGTCAATTATTTTTCTATGTGTAGTTTAATATATTCTGATGAATTATTGTCCTGCACCTTAGCATGCACTTCCCATGAATTATCTTGATCTCTGGCTTTGCAGCCTCCACCTCCACTACTCCAGCCTCCCCAATCAAGTGGAATTGTCCAGCACCTTAGCATGCACTTCCCATGAATTATCTTGATCTGCTGGCTTTTGCAGCAGCTCCAACTCCACTACCCCAGCCTCCCCGGTCACACAGAATCATTCTGCAAAGACTAGCATTTTGTTCCCAACTTGAGTTCATTGTTGTGCCATTTTCCCATGAGCTGCCTTTCTGAATATTTTGCTCTCCAACTTAAGTATTATACAACACCTTTCTAGTTTCTTTAGTTCTTTACTCTGATTTGGCAAATAGATCCATGTCAACTCAGCGTGATAACAGGAGCAAAGCATGTTTATTTCAGCCAGCCTACAGGAACCATGCCAGTTGATTTTCCTATTATACTACTTTTCCTATTTTTCTTTCTTTTTTCCTTGATTTGAATCTGGGGAAATCACATCAGCAGCCCTTCTAAGAATCTGGGGAAATCACATCAGCAGCCTCCTATTGATTTGAATGTATGTTATGTTAGCAATATTTTTCTTTCTTTTTTCCTTGATCTTTTCTTACTAGTAGGCTAGTAGTGTAAAGCATTTTGACAGGAAGGACATCTTGTAACCTTGTATGTGCATCAGGTAAACCTTATCGATGGCTTGAAACATTATGCCGACGTATTCTAAACGCACAATTAAAGCCAACATATGTATCCTCTCAGTCATTTAGTTCTTTGTATCTGCATTTTGTACTGAATTTATGTGTTATCCATTTACATGCCCATCCACTTGCAATGTGTGGTACGAAAAAGTAAAGTTAGTGTTTGTTTCTTACCTGTTGCGTATTTAACCAGTTGAGTATTAACAAAATGTTATCTGAACGCTTAGTTATCTGCAGGGGCTTTGGCTAAACAAATTTTATACTTTCCAATGACAAGTTACAACTGTGGGATATGTAGGATGGCTTTTTTTTCTACTGAAGTCTTGAGGAACTTAGCAAATACTACCTCCTGTATCGTAGTGACATTTTGGTTTTGCCCTAAGTTCTAATCTGTGTTCTATGCTTTCTCAAAGTGTATTAAGGTTGCTTGTGTTTACAGCACAAAACATGTGTCTCGAATCAGAACAAGAGCTTAAATGTTTTTTTAGCAACATGTTGATAACTTTTGAGATAAAACAGCTAGCATGAAATCCCCTAAATATCGCTGATAAATCAATTAAAAGAAGCTCTCATTGAACAGGTCTTATGCACACTTTCATTATCTTCCAAATGTTCCATCTCAGTTACATATGACTCATGCTTTTCGAAATTGTCTTTCCTATTTCTATAACAGGAGTCAAAGTCAGAAATTCTTCGCAGCCAGTTGCAAGTAAGAACTATTCTTTATGCCCTATTGCATGATGGCATTTCATCTGTTATTGTTCCTTGCAATCATGTCCGTCCACAGTTATGAAAGTGGGTACTATTAGAGGATATTTGTAGAACTTCAAGTAGAGAGACCTAATCCGTTCATTCCTAACTGAATTCTTGTTTTCATAAATGGCACCTGCACTAGTAAGCCATGAGCATGTGTGTTGTCTGAGCCATCTAGCACCTTTATGGCACAAGTATGCCTCTTGCCAGTTCTGATTCCTACCTGGCCAAACCCATGTTCACTTAAAACTAATTATTAATTCCATTGCTCACTTGAACTATTTATTTATTGATTACAACTTAAGTCTGTTATGTTGAGAAAACCCACCTAGAGTTCTTTCTTAGCACCTTGAGATTAAGCCTGTTATATTGAAAAAGCCCACCTAGACTGCTTCCATAGCAACTTGAGATGTTTGATCACCTTTCAGAGTGGTCTTCACATCCTTCTAGTCTGGCCTTTGCATTTCTCTGTTTTGTGCCTTGGGTGATGCCGACATGCATGTCTTGATTCCAGTCGCTGCTTCTCAATTATCTCCTTTCTTTTTTTCTGAAATTTATTTATGGTGTAATAATCTTTTAGCTGTCTTATGACATTATTGGTAATCCCTTATATGATTGCCATAACAGGTTGCTCGAGCAGAGGCTGAACATGCCATTCAACTTAGGCAACGATTTGATGGTGCCGTTGTCGCAAATGGCACGGGATCTAGTTCTAGTCTGCTAATGATTACCCCAACAGAACAAACAGCTGCTATGATACAGGGTTCTAGAGTATTCATGTTGAACATGTAGATGACCAGATATCATATTTGTATATATGATATATGTGCTGATAGATCAGACTGATTCTATTTTTGACATAAGTATTGACTCCATTCATGATGAACTACTGATTTGTGTATTATTTGAATGAAACCTTGTTGGTCATGCACATAAATTACTGTATGGAAAATATATATTTTAATACGCTGTTGTTACTGTTTTAAAATATTTTTTTGTGTGTTTAACTCTTTTTCTGTGAGGCTGGCTACACAGAAATATTATTTTTAATCTGGGTGAAATGAATTTTTCTGTTCACCTAGACTGACAGAAAAAAACATGTGTTTTTCTGTGCGTTTATTTCTTTTTTCTGTGTGGATTAACACACAGAAAAATTAGTTTTAATCTGGGTGAACATAATTTTTCTGTGCATGTAAGATCCACAGAAAAATTATTTCTGACGGTGAACCCACAGAAAAATTAATTTTTCTGTCATTATATTTCTGTGAATATTTTTCTGAGGGTACACTGTTAGAAAAATATTTTTTTAACGGTATTCGCATTTTTCTATGTGTTTTTGCACACAGAAAAAGCGAGATTCCAGTAGTGCAGACCCACATCACTAGAGCCTCTTAGCCATGCCAACCCAGACCCGATGTGTGAGGCCGTGTCCGAGTCGTCATTGCAGGTGCGTACCCGCACAGTTGTCGCTCCGCCGTTGTTGCCGCCGCCACTGCAGGGGCAGAGCTTGGTTAAGGCCAAGTAGCCCCCCTACCCAATGCGGCTTCCCTTTGCTAAATAGTTTTACTGTTCATGTGTGATTAGAGCTCAATTATAGAGACCAGCCCCCTTTTGATACTTCGATCAAGCATCCCCACTGGCCGCTGCGCCGTTGTGCCTTGTCCCGTGGTGTCGCCGCCGTTGCCATCATGACGCGTGATGAGCCAAGGGGCTATGTGAGGTGGACAAGGTGGGGTTGTGCGCTCGTGCGAGGAGGGGCTGGCAGACAACAGACATGAGTATGGAGGAGTCGTGAGGCAAAGGCCGCCGAATGACCGATGGAATCAGGAGTAGGGGGGGATCGAGGGAGAGAGGTGCGGGTGAATTAGACGCTCGATGGGAGGTGTCTATTAGGAGCTAGGGTTTGAGGGATTTTCTATTCATATAGTCCATATACATCTAACAGTTTTAGCATATCTGAGGTCATCCAACGGTAGGGAATGATCGTGCCGGCATAGTGCCTAACCCATAATCATGTCGTGCCCGTGCCAGCATTGTGACCCAAACACGGTCCTACACCTGTGCCCATATATGCCAGCACTGACTTACGAGTGTCATGCCGGACTAGGATAGTGCTTTTTAGGACTGTGTCTAGGGCCGCCCATCGGGCCAGCCCATCTGAACATCAATAACCCTAAGTAGCCATAAGCCATTGGTAGCCTAGAATAGGGTTTCCCGAGACAATTCACTAGCCTAGTTTAAAATTTTCTCATGTACTACCGCGCACGTAAATTTATATTTGGTCTCTATCTGCATGCCCTAATTAAATAGTTATCCTCCACATACATTGTTTGTTGGGAGAGCTAACTCCAGGTAAAGTTATTTCTTATGTCAACGCAACGATCAGAAGTTCAGAACTTACGGACTAGTATATCCAGCACAGATAGACCATGTGAATCTGCAGTCCTGCAGACCATGTGAAATTTGCTATCTGCTCTGCTGGTTTCTAGGGTCAGCATGCATGGAACCTTGTGCTTGCATCCATGCAAATGCAATGCCGTTGAAGATTAGCAGGATATAGTATATATTTTAAGAATCCATTTCCATTCCACGCTTCAGGGAGTATCATATCCATAGTTAAATTAACAAGCTCTTCCGCCCATGCCGCGCGCGCGTCTCTCATGCATGCTGGCCCACAGCTGGCTCATCCGAATCCCCATGCAGCTAGCCCTAGCACAGCGTGTATAAAAGGGGAGGCTGCCATGCCCATTCCACAGCACCACCACCAGTCCACCACAAGAAGCAGAAGCTCCCAAGCTGCTAGGCTAGCTATCTCTAGCGCTGCTACTGTCAGCTAGCAGCAATGGCGAGACCCAGTGCAGCAGCTGCCGGCTTACTTGCTTGCGCTGTCCTGCTCTTGTGTTCGCCGGCCAAAAGCGCAGCGATATTATTCGACTTCCCATCCTTCCCATTCATAGCCATCTTTCCTGGCATCTTTCCTTTAGGTTACGTGCAGCCGCCGCCAGTGAGGATCTACAGCAGGCAGAACACTGGGCTGAACATGGCCGTTCGCGACGGCAAAGTTGTCCTCGTCACAGCCACCTCCGGGGACGCAAAACAGGTATGTAATGGCTACCTGATCGACAACTTATAGCTCTCGATATATAGGTTCATTAGCTCTCGACACACATACTGCTTGTATTGACGACACTGCTTCATGCATGCTCGTATATATGTATGTATAGCTATGGTGGAAGATCCCTGCTCCGACGAGCGTTGGCTACGGTTACTGGCTGGTGAACGTCGCTACGAGACAGGCCATGACCAGCCCACCAGCATACGGTCCAATGCAGGTACGTATACCTAGCAGCTACGACCTAGCTACTAGTAACATCATCCTGCTGCTGCTGAGTATTTCCCTTCTGCCCAATGCAAATGCAGGTACAACTGGCAGATTTCAACCCGTTCATCAATGGCAAGCAGTCGTTGTGGGTGCCGACCGCACCCCTGGACGGCGTCTTCTACCAGATAAAACCATACACGCAGTATTCAAAGGCCCTCAACGGCTTGGGGGGCTACGCATACGACGGGACGGTCATCGGGATCTATTCTGACACACCAGCATCCCCGAACACCTTATGGGTCACTAGCAGTGACTGACTTCCCCATCCGGTTCTAGTAACAGTGAGCATAGCCATGTACGTACCTTGCTACTACCATTATTATCGAGAGCTGTGATTGATCCATCTCATGAGTTTTATTTCTCCTTTTGCTTTTATACGCAGGAAGGACTCGCTGAACATCAAGGGCCCTCGCGCGCCATACGTGCTTTGCTGCGTGCACGATCAAGAATAAAGACACCTCTTTTCTTTTTTTTAAATGTGCTGCTTCCTTGTGTCCATCTTACATGTTTTCACTAGAATAAACACGCCTATCTATCATACGATCAGGCGGATGTATTCCCTATGCTATGTCTTTCTCTCTTTACCTTTTCTTTTCAAGGATTTCATGTAACTCTCTAAGGAAATTCATTAGCACACGCCTATCATACAATCAGATTATGCAATCAAGTGGTTAAGGTCCAAGAGTTTTTAAGAGTATGACCACATACTAGAACTCTCTAATAAGGAAATTTGTTAGCACACGTTGTTAAAGCTGAACATACTAAACCCTAATACATTTTGTAAACCTCAATGGCACAACAAAAGGTTTGCTTAGCTCCAAGAACCATAGCTAAAGTAAGTATGTGCCTTGCAAAGGTGAGAGTGTGTAACCCAAGAGGGAGTGGTGGATTGGAGCACTAAAATTTTCTAGGGATCTAACTTGGATCTGCACTGATGGGAACATAGATGCCCGATCTTCTGTCAGGTGGAGATAATTCTCGATTTGGTGAAAACTTGACCATATACTAGAACTCTCTAAGGAAATTCGTTAGCACAAGTTGCTAAAAATGAACATACTAAACCCTAATACATTTTGTAAACCTCAATGGCAGAACAAAAGGTTTGCTTAGCTCCAAAAACCATAGCTAAAGTAAGTATGGGCCTTGCAAAGGTCCGAGTATGTGACCCAAGAGAGAGGGGCGAATTGGACCACTAAAATTTTCTAACCTAGGGATCTAACTTGGTCTGCACTGATAGGAACAAAGGCACCGATCTTCCGGCAGATGGTGGTATAACTCTCAATTTGGTGAAAACTTGACACACACGATCCGACTTTCTCAATCCAAAGACCCGAACCATGCAAATCGTAGCACCACACCTTCTCTAGTTATCAAGCATGCACTACCCAGTTGACCTCACAACGAAGGTTAATCCCTACTTGTGAATCAAGGACACAAGCGAGAATAAGAAAGAACACAACTAAATTTACTAAAAAGATTAATCTCACAAGTTGGGGTCTCAAAAGTTGCGGCCTCCAGGTTCTGACTTGGCCGGGGGTGGATATAGACATCATTGTCGTCTCGCAGGTTCTTGCACCCTTATCCCCTTTCTTCAGAGGTCTTCGTTACGTCCCGTCTATTGAGTTCACCTTCGAGGCTTTCTCATTGTCGCCTGGGTTCCTCGCACTTAGCCTCCATCTAATTGAGCTGTCGTCCATTCCCACCATGGCTAGCGACATCGAGGTCTCACTGGTTTCTTCAACCTCGATGTTTCGAGGCTAGCTGCGTTGAAGATCGACCTCAATGTGTCTGAACAATCATCAAACACTTGCAATGAATTTTCTTTCCAACTGCTCTTCTAGAATTTATGTTGCAACCATATGCATTGGATGATTGCACACTGACATGTGTCGTAAATCAGCGGTAGGTGCCCATGTTGTGCCCATAATCTAATTTGCAGTTTCCACTAGATTTTTTTCATTGTGACAGCTTGTTGTATACTTGATTTAGGGCCTGTTTGGATAAAGGGCTAATTGTTAGCTAGCTAAAATTAGTTCTAGTGCATCCAAACAGGATACAGTCTTTGACTAATTGTTAGCCAACTATCTATAGCCAACCACTACTAAATTGGGATAATTTTTAGCATGCTCTTAATTTGAAATGAAGGTCAACTAGCGCCGGCCGAAACGATCAGCTAGCAATGGCAAGACCCACTGCAGCTGCCGGCTTAGCATGCGCCACCGTCTTGCCCTTGTTTGCTGGGCAAAGCGTAGTAGCTATCTTGTTTCCATTCGGATTCTTCTTTCCCTAGGTTATGTGCCACCGACAGTGAGGATATTCGTCAGTGACAAGCTCTCGTTGAACGTGGCCGTTCGCAACGGTGAAGTTGTCCTCGCCAGAGCCATCTACGACCGTGGAGACAACACACAGGTAAGGCCGCTAGCTCTCACAGCTCTCGATCGATCGATGGATATATACATATTATTTATCTACATGCATTATAAAATAGATGTATAAAAAAAATTAAAGCGATTTATAATTTAAAACGGATGGAGTATATCAAAAGGCATTGCGTGTGTGCAAAGACACAAGTTGCATTAATTGTTGCCCTGGAGATTGGTGCGCTTGCTGGTCGTCCCTACCATCTTAGTCTATAAAAGAATACAATTCTCGTATTTTGATAAATCAAATAATTTAAACTTAATTAAAATTATATAAAAATATACTAATGCTACTCATAAAACAAAGTAAATATTATTGGATTAGTTATAGAATATATTTTCATAATAAATTTAGTTGAAGACATAAATGCTAATATTATTTACTATAAACTTAGTCAAAGTTGAACTAGTTTGATCGATACGTTTTCCATAATTATATTCTTTTGGGGCTGGAGAGAGTATTTTTATAGGGTCGAGATTGCGGACTAGGAGGGGTGAATTATCCTTTCTAAAATTAATTGCACCGGCTAACCGAAACAAATACGGAATTAAAACTATCTAACTTATCAAGCGCCTTAAAAAGATCCTAAACAAGCAACTAAGGTGCCAGGCTAGTTAGAGCTCCCCCAACAAATTCTAAAAGTAAGATTACACAAACCTATGTCTCTAATATTTTAAGCACGGGGGAGATCCTACACAACTAGGTTACTAAAACCAAATTAGTTACGCAAGGGAGCTACTTCTATACTATACAAATAAGAAGGTAATTAACAAGTTACACAAGCTAACTAATTACAAGAGCAACTATACAAGCACAATGTATATGAAGGTAAATACAAACTTGTGTAAAGGGGATACAAACCAACGGAAAGACAAGAATGACACGGTGATTTTTATCCTGAGGTTCACGTGCTTGCCAACACGCTAGTCCCCGTTATATCGAGCGTTCACTTGGTGGTTCGGCGGCTAATTAGCACCACACGTTGGGCGCCGCAAGAACCTACCCACAAGTGAGGGTAGCTCAATGATATGCTCTACTAGAGTTGTGTAACACCCCGGTGTTATGCCTACATTTAGGCACTGCTAATCATACATATCATGCATCATCAAGCATCCTAATCATACATGCCTAATCATGTAAATAACAATTGAAACACTGCTTCGAAACATTTGAAACATGTTGTGAAACCTGAATGTGCATACTTTTGTTAGACTTGTTTTGCCCTGATTTTGCTTGCTAGGTTAGTAAAACATGTTTGGCTACTATTGTAAATCATCTAGCAATGTTTAGTTCAATTTTTGGAGCAAAGTTTGTATTCAAATTAATTCAAAATTTGGCTTCAAAAATAAATTCCCAAAAATTAGGGTTTTGAGTTAAACGTGGACTTTGACCTTGCAATTTAAAATCTAGAAAGAATTTGACTGTGGTCATAAAAGCAAAGTTGTAGAAAATTAAATTCTAAGCAACTTTCATTTTTGGTACATTTTCAAAATATGTCATTTTCTTGCTCAAAATAATATTTGAAAGATGGCATTTAAAAATTCCTTGAAAATACAAATGAAAAAGGCTTTTTCCTCCTTCACGGGCCGCCGCCTCACTTCTGGCCCACGACCGAAGCCGGCCCAGCCCAAGCCATCCACACAGCAGCGCCTCGCCTCGCCTCGGCCCGCCCAGCCCAGCTTCGCCTCGCTCACCTGCGACGACGCTTGCCACACAGCGCCTCGATCATGGCAGAAGAAGCGTGCCGGCCACAGGCGGCTATGCGCCGTCGCCGCCGCGCCAGCAGCAGCAATGGCTTGCTGCGCGCCGCGCCACGCCGCCCGCCTACACTGCTGGAGCCGGTGCGCTCGCTCACTCCCTCCCGCGCTGCCTTTCCTCTCCGCCAGAGCCGAGAGCCCCAAGCTCTGCCTCTCGCCGCGCCACGCACCCGTCGGAGCAATTCGCCGCGGTTCCTCCACCTCGGCCGGCAATCACGCGCCCGCAGCTCCGCCTCGCCCTCCTTCAAGTTGTGCTCGCGTTTGCGCCACCTACCGAGCTCAGGTAGAGCCGCCTCAGCCTCGCCACCAACGGCCATGGCGCCGCCAGGTGCTCGGCCTTCATGGAAGTCACCTCTCCCTCTTCTCCGGCCCGCTTAGCGCCCTACCAGATTCGCCATCTTCTCGCAGATCCCGTGCGCCCGCCATTCATCGCCGCCATGGCGGAGATGGTGGCTTGGCCTCGTGGCCGAGTCTGTGCCAGGCCAACAAGAAGCGCCGGCAGAGTAGCCTCGCCTCACCCGGCCAGCCGAGTGGCCGTGGGCCGACGCCTGCCGGGCCGTATTCCCCCTCCCTTGCGTTCGGGCCGCGCAGGCCAAAAGCGGCCGTGGGCGGTGATTCAAGTGAAGGTGGCCCAATGAGCGTTTAAAGAAATTGTTTTCAATTTATTCTTTATTATTTGAAAATAGATATGGTTTGCAAAATGTTTGGATACTCAAAGTTGCTCCAAATCTGTTGAAATAAATTTGTCTAGGTTCCTTATCATCAGATCTACTTGGGAAAAAATTGTGCATGTCATTTTTGAGATACTTTGCTGTAGAATTTTATTTAATCATGAATATTGCTGATAACTTGAAAAATATGTAGAAAAATCTATAGGCTTCAGAAAAATATGATTTCAAGTTTGTTAATCTTCTTATGTCATGTATTTCCTAGGAAAAATATGTTTCATGCATGTGCTGTGGGAAAATTTTGAGGTGTAGTTCAAGCACCTTTAATAGCTGATTTTGTTATTTTTGCTAGAGAGCAAACTTTGTATAAAACATGCATGTGATAATTTTTGTACAGTCATTGTATGCTAT